TAGAAAGGACTAGTGGCTGCAAATTTGGAATCGATGGCTATGTACTCTCAAACACTGTTCCCGGCCTGTGGAAGCAAGCAAACGAAATAAATCGATCCGTATAGCTTTCTCTCTACCTAGCTATAGCTAGTTCTTCTTCCCGGCCGGCCACCTCTACTGCTCATCTGTACATTGCACAAAGACCAGTGTAGGACAGTACGTACTTTATTGCTTTATCTACTCTATGTACTTAAAGTTAAGTTGCCTACTCATATAGAACTGTACATACATGAGAGCACTGTCTACTTGTCTAGCTATACTTGTTAACTTTGGTCTTTGGTTGGATCGAGAGAGAGAGAAAGATAGAGTGGTAGTAGAATAGGAATTCTCTACACCAGACACCAGCTAGCCAAGAGTCCAAAGAAAGTCGTAGCAAGAGTAACTTTACCACTGATTGATCTCTTTCATCAATATGGACATAAAGTTGCACCTGCACAAACACGTACTAGCTAGAATGAACCCCTGGACTGGACATCTTGTATTGGTAGCTAGCTCATGTTTTTTGGTAACCTCTTACTAGAGCTTCGCATGTACACTGTTTAGCCCCTCTATCTCTATCTATCTGCTAGCTAATCAAGCAGGGAAACGAAGGAAGAAGGAAAAAAAAAAAAGAGCAAAGAACACGCACAACAAGACAGCCTTAGCTTCCAAACAGTAGAACAACAGGCATCACCACCTCACCCTGCTGCCTCCCTAGGGTTTCCAACTTTCCTCATACATAAAAACCGGCCCCCCTTGCTTCTCTCATCACCCTCCCACTCTTGCTGCTGCTAGCTACATCCATCCATCTCACTCTCACACACATTGCATCCTTAGAAGCTAAGGAATGAAGTCTCTTCTCTCCTTTGTCGCCCTCCCATATGCATGTTTCACATCCATTATATATATAATGCAAGGCCTCCACTAACACACCCAAACAAACAAACAAAAAACTAAAGGGAAATGAACAAACCCCCATTCTCCTTTAATTTTATTCCACTCGCTTTCGCCCTCCCAACGATCCCATCTCTTTCTTCCCCTAGCTTTAGTTCCTCCTCCTCCTCTTCCTCTCCTGGCAGGCCCGGCCCTTCTCTCCTCTTCTTCGTCTTCCGCTTCGCCGTCATTCCCTTCCAGTCGTCGCGCGCGGCAGCTAGCAGCGTATAGAGAGAGAGAGAGAGAGAGAGAGAGAGAGAGAGAGATCAGCTCGCTAGTGGATGTTATTCTCCGATCCACCTTTATTAGCGATGCACACCCGGCCCTCCCCCATCCTTGCATGATCCCCTAAAGCGCCTATATACCCTTATCTCGCAAAGCAAGAAGAGGCTCCCAGTCCCAGTGCGACTGCGGCGAGGAACAAACAAACCAGCTGAAAAGAAGCTCTCACTCACTCACAAGTAGCAAAAGATCAAAAGAAATCAATTCTATACCATGGTCTTTTCTTCGGTTCCTGTCTATCTTGATCCACCCAATTGGAACCAGCACCAGCACCAGCCGCAGCAGCAGGTAAAAATTTTCTCCCCAAATCGCTTCCTTCTCTTTTGCGCGCGTGCTTTTTTCGTTTCGTCTCCTCCTTGTTGGCCACCATAGCGAAAACTTCTCCATGAAAAAAGCAAGGCCGCCGAGAGGGGGGACGACGAAATGGAGAGGAAATATTCCTAGGCTCTTTTGCGAAATCTTTCTTCTCTGCTTGAATATACCAGGCCGCGTCTCTTTTGGTTTCATTCGCTGATATCAATTTCGCCTCGCGCGCCTTTCTTCTCTTTAATTTCTGTGCCCGCGTGTTTGATTTGGAAATGATGCTGCTTTCAGCAACAGCAAGCTCACCATGGCCAGGTTCCAAGTGGTGGTGGAGGTGGAGGCGGCGGCGGCGGCATCGACGCGCATGCGCATCATCATCATCAGCTGCCGCCGGTGCCACCCCCTGGCGGAGCTCTCATGGCTCCTCGCCCTGACATGGCGGCTGTGGTCGCTGCGAGCGGTGGCGGCAGCACGGCCGGCGGCGGGCCGACTGGCGGCGGCTCCGCTATCCGGCCGGGCTCCATGACCGAGCGGGCCAGGCTCGCCAAGATCCCGCAGCCGGAGCCGGGGCTCAAGTGCCCGCGCTGCGAGTCCACCAACACCAAGTTCTGCTACTTCAACAACTACTCGCTCTCCCAGCCGCGCCACTTCTGCAAGACGTGCCGCCGGTACTGGACGCGCGGCGGCGCGCTCCGGAACGTGCCCGTCGGCGGCGGGTGCCGCCGCAACAAGCGCACCAAGTCGTCCAAGTCCAACTCATCGTCGGCCGCTGCTTCCGGCGCGGGCGGGACGTCGTCGTCCACCTCGTCCACCGCGACCGGTGGCAGCAGCGCGGGCGGGGCCTCTGCCGCCATCATGCCGCCTCATCAGGGGCACGGGCAGCTGCCGTTCCTGGCCTCGTTGCACCACCCTCTCGCCGGCGGGGATCACTACAGCACCGGCGCGTCAAGGTTAGGGTTCCCGGGACTGAGCTCGCTGGATCCCATGGACTACCACCAGTTCGGCGCCGGCGCCGGCGCCGGCGGCGCTGCCATCGGGCTGGAGCAGTGGCGCTTTCCGCAGATACAGCAGTTCCCCTTCCTAAGCGGCCGCCCTGACGCCGTGCCACCGACAATGTCTGGCATTTACCCGTTCGACGTGGAAGGCCACGGCGGGGACGGTACCGGCTTCGCCGGCCACATGCTGGGCGGTTCCAAGGTGCCCGCCTCAGCCGGGCTGATCACGCAGCTGGCGTCGGTGAAGATGGAGGACAACCCAGCGTCCGCGGCGATGGCAAACAGCTCGCCGAGGGAGTTCCTTGGTCTCCCTGGCAACCTCCAATTCTGGGGCGGCGGCAGCAACGGCGGTGCAAATGGCAACAATGGAGGAGGCGCTGGCAACGCCGGTGGTGGAGGCGGCGGCGGCGGCGGCGCTGTGGCTCCGGGCAGCAGCTGGGTGGACCTGTCAGGATTCAACTCGTCTTCGTCCGGGAACGTGCTGTGACGCGCCCTCTGATCTCTGCATGCTGGTTGCTAGCTGCACACAAAAGGTAGCCCTATTTATGCCCTAAAGCTTCATTTTAGTCATGGCTTCTGAGAAAAAATTCAACAGAAAAGGAGTTGTGGTGCAAGATCATAGGGCTATCTGATAGCTATCGTCTACGATGATGATCGATGGCGGAGATGGTGAATTGGTATCTAGAAATGGTAGGTAATCGAAATTAGTTTCTGTTATTATTCAGTTCTCTTCATGTGCTGTTCTTGTTTCTGCTATCTAGGGTGTGCATTTCTATATTGTTGTCCATTATATTTCAGGTCTATGATATGTAAACTTGTAACGCATGCATGTTGCTAGGTTTACTTACTAGCTTTGGTGTGCAAGGTGATAATATATATACTTATGGGAGTACTTGATCAAAGAGATCGAAGAACTACGTACTGATCGATCAGCCTAGCTATCTACATGCATGTGAATTATTCATCTATTCGACACAGTTTGCAACAATGGATGCTTGTTATTCTTACTCAATGATTATACGCGTGCGTGCTTATTGTTGTGTGTTTGGATGTAGCAGCAATGCATTGGTTTAGTGCATATATGATGCATGCGGCTAGATCATGGTGCATTCAATTGAACCCATCATTTGGAGATGAATAAGCATGGTCGTCATCGTCTATCGAACAATGCACCATATATAATCAAGATCATCTCTACATACTATATATAGGATTCACATCCATATACATATATAGATAAGTGCAGATATGTATGGCCATTGCTTGTTATGTACGTGTTACTTAGTTGTCTTGCACATATGCATACTCTCTTGAACCCACAAATTAACACCCATTCCAAGCACTGAACAAAAGAAACTATACTACCTATAGATTTATTTTTTTTGCGAACACTATACCTATAGATTTAGATGGAGAGGGACAGCATGCAGGTACTTCTTGAGTGCTTATAAGTAGCTAGCTAGTTGCAAGCTATTTAACACATTTAGTTTACTAATTGAAGCTAACAAGGCAAACAATGAAACACATGCATGATCCATGGAAGCTCTAAACTACGTCCAGTTCTCCTCTTTTGAGAGGTCACATTTCTGATGGCACACATAAATATAGTGTATATATAGGCAGTGCAACATGCAAGTGATCCAGTTCTCCATGCATGGTCCTCCCTAGCAGAAACGGTGTTGGTTTCTAGGTTTCCATGCACCAATCTCATTCAAAGCCTTTTTCCACTGCCATTGTAATCATGGCATGCATGTCCCCACAGCGCAGGCACAAAGACATTTTATTCATGTCCAAGGAATGAATGCATCATGCAGCAGGGAATGGTTACTACTGGCTAGCATGCAGCAGCTGCAATCTCCTTAGTTGTGCACAAAGAATTTGTTCCTATGTTTCTTTTGGTCCTTTCGCACCATCTTTACCTTTATCCAGCAGCTTCATCGGTTTCGAGGAGTCATTGCACCAGAAGCTTTGCATTTCTAGAGGTTTGAAGCCAACCATGTCTGACACCATCAAAGTGTGCATCATCCCTGGCGAAGCTGCAGGTTGCCCAGACTGCCACATCTTTCGTTCCCTTGAAACAACCAATGTTGATGCCATTTTTAACATACTAGTGCTGAATCAAATCATATTAGATTTAACTAATTTTATATAAAAAGGCTCTGATATCTATCATACTATTTGGAGTCATATAAATAATGTTTGATAATTTTTTTATAAACTATTCTGACATGAAGGTATATTCCTAGTTTGTCTCCATATCCCCATTTAGTCGAGCTCCGGCCTCTTGCTCTTCTCTCTAGCTACATAATAAGGAGCTGTTTATATCTGTTCTCAAAATGAATTGAGAGCCGATGAAGCTAGTTATTTTTATCTTCGGTTGTTCCAAATCCTCCGTACATTGTAGCGAGGAGTTGGAGTTGGACGAAGCCGTGTCAAACATGCTCTATATATATTCACATGCTCGAACCAGCAATGCTTTCAGAAAATACATGAATAATATATATACTAGAAACCAAAAAAAAAAAGAAATTACTTTGAGTTGGCACAACCTCCAAAAAAACTAGCATTTGTCTCTTAATTTCTCATATACCACAATGTTTTTAGCAATAAAGTCATAACCATAGGAAAAAATACTTTTAAGTATTAATACAATAACATTAGTTTAGAAACAAAATGTAAACTATGTGAGGTAATTTTTTGGTAAAATATTATAAATGAGGTTAACTTGCACTTTGTATTTTAGGACAAAGGGGATAGGATTGAACTTTGTGAAACTGATATGCGTAAACTGGCCGTGTTTTGAGATAGAGGGAGCAGAACATTGTGAAGGCTTATAATATTTAGGATTTAGAAGCAGTTGTAAGTGTGAATTGACTGTTGTTGCATGTTTAGATGAAATGATACATGGAACAACGCAATACGATGGGTTCTCTTGGTTAGATCCCCCCCTAATGGAAAATGTGAAAAAATGCAGAAACAAACCATATGCATATTGTGGTGCTTTGCTTTTTCTATATACAGGTAAAATATAAGAAATCATGGGGCACCTTAAATATTTTATAATAAAAATGTGGGTAATTTAGAAACATGTTAGTTAGATCTACTAAGTGTTGTTTTCAATGTTGTATAAATAAGTCCAACATATTAATTAGATCTATTTAGAATACCATTTTTGCGAGAATTTCTAGAGCATCTTTTTTTTTGGCACACCTCATAAGCAATAAAAGAGTCTCTAATTACCAATCATACAACAATCTATATCTATACCTAATATTAAAAAGTCAAAAATTTATCCTCATTTTTTCGTCCACTTCCCTCTAACTACCTGGACTGTGGAAAGTTTCTTCTGTCACGCTTTTTTTACTTTCCAAACTACCCCACACGCTCTGTATCTCTATGTGATCCAAACACATGACCCGTGATCATTAGAGTCAGAACAACTCGCGTCTAGCGACGATCGATACAGACTCCGATAACAATACATATTGAGTCGTGTCCTTCAATTCGTATCTCATGACTTATATATGATCCGTGCTCATACGAGTCATAACAACTCGTGTCTAGTGATGATACAAATTCTGATTACTATACGTATTGGGTTCCGTCATAACGTATGGACACATTTGCTAATAAAAATAAATATTTAGTCATTTGTTCAACTTATTCTCATCTTTGCGTTCATTCAATGCAAGAGGTAATAATATGTGGTCTCTCAACCGATCATGATGAGAAACGAGTCCCTACATACTCCTTTAGTCCTGAAATATAAGGAATCCAAGTGATTTTCAGACAGAATACAAAGCTTGGCAAAAGACCACCTTACCCTTAATTAGGATGGAGAGGGTAGTTAAATTTTTACTTTCCTTAGTATTACCAGCTGACTTTTTCAGATGATGAAGTGTTTAAAAGGAATCTCAGCATTTCCTAAAAAGCCAAAGGAGAGAGAGGGTTGAGGACCCTGAACATCTTGTAGTATTTTGGTACAAATTTTGAACCTAGCTTGAATCCTTTATATTTCAGGACGGATGAAGTATATGTTCATTTGCATTGTCCAAAACTCCAAATAAATCCATAATCTTTCCTGTGCCATGGTTACGCTTCCCAATTATACGGGAGACATGTATGCAATACTGCAATATTCTTGCTGATAGAATTTCCGACTGCACATATTGTTTTGCTTCGAGCAGTTGAAAAATACTAAGCCTCATAGAGTTCCAGTAGTGGTCACAAAAAATGCTGTCTCTCTCTAAATACAAAACATTTGAGGCAATCTAATTAGTTAGTAAAAGTAACTATATATATAATTAGTTTGTGGTAAATGTTATATATTTGAAAACTGAGGGAGTAATTGAAAATCGGTTAAAAATACTAGCTACAAAATTGGCGGCGACATATGCTAGTACATACTACTGCTAGTCCTGTTCAGGATCGACGATGAATTGGCGACATGCTATCATCGTCCTTCAGGTTAATTTTGCCTCCAGCCCATTTTACAGAGCTAGCTAGCTAGCACAATACGCACCAGATCAGATCGATGCATGTGTACGTGTGTGAGCTTTTGATGACTATACATATATAGCACAGCACTGTAGGGGACGTACGATAGCCAGCTCTTGCAGCTGACTTTGTTTCTCCCTCCCTGGCTCCCTGCTGGCCCTCGTCTACGTACAATGAATAATGCATGGCAACTACAGGAGACGTTCACGCTTTGAGCGATCGAGAGACTACACGTACTGGCTATGCATGGTAATTACACATACACATATATATACTCCAACATTTATTTACATGCATGCAGATGCAAAATCACTCATAAAACTCCACGATATGAGATATATATATATATATATATATATATATATATATATATATATATATATATATATATATATATATATATATATATATATATATATATATATATCATCGATCGGATCATCAGCAAGTTTATTTATTTTTTGTCACTTTGCAGTGTGAGAGTACAATACAAAAGCATGCAGGCTTTGCATTAGACACGTATCAACTTCGTTCTGATTGCCCATTGCTGTCACCGTAATCCGGTTGATTAAGAAACCCGTAGTGCATCAAACAGAGCATAAACTCAGGAGAAAAAAAGGTAATAAAGTGTTTGTCTGTTTGCACATAGAAATATAGGTGCAAGCAAAGCTAGCTGCTGATAGGTACAGTACGTAGGAGAAACACGTACGCGATATATTGTAGATATACAGCAGGTACCTATAAAAATTAAGTTCGAACTGCACGTACTGGGTTTAAATTAAATAAATTAAAAAGCAAATCAAAATTTAGTTATTGTGTGATGGTGAAAAATACAGTACTGCCCTAGCTAGCTAAGTATTATCGGAATTTGCTACAGTACTGTCCTAGCATTGCTAACGCAGCAGCATCTCCGTCTCGCTTGTTTGTTTAGCCGTCGCTGTCGGAGGGAATCTAAGTTTTCGTCTGCTTTCGCGCGCAGTACAATGCAGT